GGCTATTAGGAAGGAGCGTTGAGGATTTACCATCAAGGGCTGCTATGGAGTATGGTTTGTGGCAGTGCATGCATGTACAGAAGGTGAGTGGCGTGGTGTCCTGTGGCAGGTCGTTGCACACGGGGGGGTTGAGTAGCTCGCGCGCGCCTCGTAGAGGTGAATAGTCGAATATTAAAATATGAAGACATCTAGTTGTGCAGGGTTTAGGGCGTACTGCCGATTGGGTATAGTGTTTGTGGGAAGATGTAGTGCACCACGGAATTTGCACCATCCGGATGTGTGCCCTCTCTTTACACGAAGGAGGTGTGTGCTACATGAGTTCTCTAGGGTAAATGGCGGCACTAGTCCCTGGTAATATGGAGATGGGTACTTATGGTTTATTTCATGTAGGTTTAGATACGCTGTTTCACAGGATGTGCGTACGGCCTGCGGAATCGCCTACCTCTACAAACGTGTAGTGTGCGCTGTTTCCGTATTCTTTTGGGGTTTGTCTGGTGTGCGCCCTTAGCGTATTAGAATGGACTGTTGGAGATCTGCCATCGAGGGCTCTTATGGTATATGGTGCGTGGGAGAAGATGCGATGTACACAGGAGGTGGGTTGACTGGTGTGGTGTGGAGGGTCGATGCAGACAGAGGACTTCAGCAAGCTCCGCACCAAAGCTTAGAGGTAAATACTCCCGCCATTAAATGTGAAGATTACTATTTGGCTGAAATCAAAAATGCAGTATATTGAGTATCGTGTGTAGGAGAGAATGTGCCGTTCCACAGGCAGTGCGCGATCTGGCTCTTTTTCGTGTCTTCACAAGGAGATGAGATGTGGTATATCTGCACACTGGAGTAAACAAACGCGTTTGGCCCTGCTCCTATGGAAATGCACATCTACCCTATATCAGACATCCGCGTTTGGCTCTGCTAGTATGAAGATGCCTATCTGAAGGGATAAGCAAAAAGAGTTCAGGGCCTGTTGCGTGTGGTTTCTGGATGTGGTGTTCCATAGTCGGTGCGTACAGGCCATGTAGTTACCTCTCTCTACAGAATTGGACTATGTGCTGTTTTTGTACTCATTCAGAATAGGTTGTCGTGGAGTGAGTTTCACATCAGAACGCGTAGATCCGCATCGACCAACCAAGACGTCTATAGTATATGCTTTGTTGTAGATGTATATGCCTTGTTGTAGATGTTGTGCGTACAGGAAGTGAGTTGCGTGTTGTGCTGTGACGGGTCGATGCATACAGGAGGTTTGAGCAAGGTCCGCACCACAGCGTAGCGGTGGATATTCGAGCCAGTCAATATAAAGACTAATAGTTGGGCCGAAATCAAAAATCCCGTTTATAGCGTACTGTGTGTGAGAGGCGGATGCGCTGTTCCATAGAAAGTGCGCAGCTGGGTTCAGTTAACTCTCTTGACACGGAGATGGCCGTGGTACATTTGCACTCTGGAATATAGGTCCTCTTTGGAACTTGCAAGTGTGAAGATGGAGAAGCTCGATGCTACCGACAAGGCGTTCAACGTTTATGGTGTTTGCTTAGAGATGCGGTGTTTCACAGAAGGTACGTGCATGCTCTGTAGTCCACAGTATGCTGTTTTCGAGGTTTTTGTATTTGGTCGGTTTTGGACCAGTCGGGCACCATAACGACACTTGTCCATAGATCGTCAAGGGCCGTTATTGCGTCTGTCTGGTGCAAGTAGATTGGGCGTTCACAGGAGGTCAGTTGCATGGTGTGCTCTGGCGGGTCGTTCTCCTCAGTTGGTTTGAGCAACGTCCGCAGCGTAGAGTCTGGGTGTTCAAGCAATTAAATATGAATATTGCTATTTGTGGAGGGATCAGGAAGTGTCGCTGAGTGCGTTTTGTGCGTGGTAAGATGCACCGTTTTACAGAAAGTGCGCGATGTAGCTCTTCGGCATGTCTCTGCTCGGCGAGGAGCTGTGCTACATTTGTACTCTCGAGTATCTATGCGCATTGGAAGATGCTGGTCTGGATATGGATTTTAGCGGGGAGGCCAAAAACCCCTTAGGTCTCGTGCGGTTTGTTTCTCTGTGCGATGTTTCATAGGCGGTGCGGACTATGCATACTTGTAGTTAGTGGTGTTTCCGTAATGTCTTGCACTATGTTGGATTTGACCCCAACTGCGCGTTAAAACGGGTTGTGGAGGATATTTCATCGAGTGTTGTTATGGTGTAGAATTTATGGAAGTAGATATGATGTATACAGTCTGTGAGCTTCGTGGTGTTCTGTGGTGGATCAGTACTCACGGGAGGTTTGCGCAACCTCCGCACAACATCGTAGATGTGGACATCGTAGCCGCTAAGTAAGATGTTTACTACCATAGCTCTCAGACGTGTCGCTCACTGCTTACTGTGTGTGAGCAAAGATGTACTGTTTCACAGAAAGTACGCAATCCGGTTATCTGGGCTGTGTTATAGGAGCCCCATTTGCACCCTGGAATATACTGCCGTATTGAAAACTGATAGTATAAATATGGAGATACTCGGTGTTACCAACAAAACCTTCGACGTTTGTGATGTGTGCTTGTAGATGTGGTGTTCACAGAAGGTGCGTAAAGGCTATGCAGTTGCCGTCTTCTACAGATTTGCAGATGATGCCGTGTTATGTCAGTTTTGAGACCTTTGGGTATTGAAACCGGTAGGTGTGTATATATAATCAAGTGGTGCTATGGTATACGCTCTGTGGGAGTAAACGTGGCGAACACAGGAGGTGAGTTTGGCTGTTTGGTGTGGCGGCTCAATGGACCCACAGAATTTGGGCAAAATCCTAACCACAGCGTAGATATGGATATGTGAGCCATTCAAGATAACGTCTGCTACGCGTGCAGAGATCTAGAAGGGCCGCCGATTGCCTAAGGTGTGTTAGAGGAGCTACTGCTTCACAGGAAGTGCGCGATTTGGCTAGGTGGCCTGGCTTTACATGTTGGTGGTTTGTGCTGAAACTGCACTCTGAAGAGTATGTGTTCATTGTATCCTGCTAGTATGAAGGCAGGTATTAGCTGAGGTACGAATATAGCGTTGAGGGACTAAGCTGTGTGGTTGTAGATGCGGTGTTTCACAGAATGTGCGTGCATGATGCGTTGGCCTGCATACGTTGACTTGTAGTTATTGCTGACTTCGTATTCGTTTGGAGTAAAACGGCTTTGGAAACGATGCTTGTTATGGCGCGTAGCTGGGTTTAGATCGGCAAAGCATTCTGGCAGTAGACGTGATGTGTCTAGGAGGTGCGTTGTGTACTCCATGATCAGGAGGTTCAAACCGAGGCTTCGAGGAACAACCGCACCTCGGCGTAGAGGTGGATATGGGGGCTATTAAACGTCAGGATTCCTATTTGCGGAGAGAACACGAAATATCGCGTATTGCGCAGTTTGTATGTGAGAACATCTACTGGTTCGCAGGATGTGCGCAGCGTAGATATGTTGCCGTTCTTCACACGCTCACGGTTTGTGCTACTTTGCAGTCTGGAGTGGATATCTGCATTGGACTGTTCTAGACATTTGCATAGCGAGCAACAATTTTTTTGAGCTGGCAACCTGTGCTAGTACGTGCGGTGTTTCACAGAAGGTGCGTACCGGCTGTGCAGCTGCCTGCCCTCATAATCTTGCAGATTCTGGTGTTTTCGTATTCTTTCGGAGTATATCGGCCTTCGTCCAGCCGAGTATTAGAACAGATAGTCGCGCTTGTTTTTTTGAGGGCTGGCATGGTCTATGGTTTGTGGGAATAGCGATGGTGTACACAGAAAGTGAGTTGAATGGTGTGCTGTGGCAGATAGATGCACACAGGGGATTCGCCCAAGTTCCGCACAATATCGCAGGGGAAGAAATTCAAGCCATTACGGATGATGATAGCTATTTGTGGAGAGGCCACGATTTATCGCGTACTGAGAATTTGTATGAGTGGATCTCCTGTTGCATAGAAAGTGCGCGATGCAGCTCTGTGGCCAATATTGAGAAGCAGATGAAATGTGCTGCATTTGTCCCCTTGAGAATATATCCGCATTGGACCCTGATAGTATGAGGACGGACATTTGGCGGGATATTGGCGAAGCTTCCAGTGTGTGAGGCATGTGGTTCTAGAAAGGGTGTTTTACAGAAGGTGCGTAATGCAGGCTTTCCAGTGTTCTATCCCAGTACTCTTGGGGCTTGCACTGTTTCCTGGCATGAGTGGGCTTTGGGCCCGTTGGGTATTACAATGGATAGTTGCAGGTAAATAGTCAATGGCAACTATAGTGTATGGTTTGCCTGAGCACACACGATGTACACAGAAGGTTAGTTGCGTGGTATTGCGTAAAGCGTCGATGTACAAATTGGGTTTGAGCAACCTCCGCACCACAGTCAAGAGGTGGATATTTGAGTTATGTGACGAGATGGCGAAATGCCATTTACTGCGTGTGTTGAGTGCCAGAAGGTGTACTGTTTCACAGAAAGTGCGCGACGTAACTCTGTGGCCTGTCTGTACCCGCAGATATTTTGTGTTACGTTTTCCCTCTGGAGCATATGCCCGTATTATAATTATGTCCGCTAGCATACGGTTAAACACTTTGAGGGACACTAGCAAGAGTTTTAGGGCTTATCGTGTGCTTTTGTGTTACGGCATTTCACAGACGGTGGGTACATGGGATACTGCTGCCTGCCCTGAGCCTTCCATATTGTAATGTGCTCTTATTCTGGTGTATTTTGTAGGCCTTGACAATGTTGAACATGACAACGGATAATTTGGTGTAGATCAGCAAGGCATTCTATGGCATGTGGTTCAATCAGTCGATTTGTACACAGAAGGTGAGTTGCTCTGTGTGCTGGCGGGGGTCGATGCTCACAAGGCGGGTTCAGCAACTTCCATGCCATAGCGCAAGAGGTGGATATTCGTGCCTTAATGCCTAATATTTTCTCTCTACGAAGAGATCTGCAAGTGTCGCATATTGCGTATTGTTTGTGTGAGAGGATATAATGTTCCGCAGAAAGTGCGCGATCTGACTTTGCGGCCTGTCTTTGCGCAAATGGTTTGCGCGTCATTTACTCCCGCTAGTACTTCACAACATTGGGCCCTCCTACATTGGAGATAGCTATTTGCAGGGAGTTTAGCAAAACGTTCATACCTTATGGTGCGTGATTCTAGATGCGGTGTTTCACAGTTAGTGTGTACCAGCTGTGCAGTGGCCTGTCTCTACAGAGCGTGTGTTGTTTAGGCATTCATTTGACGTACCAGTCTTGGCCCAGCTGGGTATAAGAATATATAGCTTCAGCTACACCAATAAGGGCTGATATATTTTTTGTGGAAGTAGATGTGGTGTGTACAGGAGGTGAGTTGTGTGGTGTGTTGTGGCGAATCGTTTCAGTCATGGGGTTTTGAGCGACTTCCGCATCGTAGCGTAGGGCTGCGTATCCGAGCAATCAACTATGGAGGATGCTACTAGTCGAGAGGTCAGGAAGGGTCGGTTGTTGCTTATTGTGTATGCGAAAGAATGCACTCTTTCACAGAAAGTCCGTGATGCGGCTTTCTTGTCTGTATTTAAACGCTGACAGTTCCCGATTCATTTCCACGTATGTCCACGCTGGACCCTGATAGTATGAATGGTGGTAGTTGCGGAAGTCCGCGCAAAATGTTTGGAGATTATGGTGTGCGTTTGTAGATGCGCTGTTACACAGCATGTGCGTACAGTCGATGTTGGGGCCAGCCTCTACAGACTCGCGTATTTCGTGCTGAATTCTTAGTTTGAAGTATTATATCTTTTCTGGATCCGTTGGCTATTAGGAAGGAGCGTTGAGGATTTACCATCAAGGGCTGCTATGGAGTATGGTTTGTGGCAGTGCATGCATGTACAGAAGGTGAGTGGCGTGGTGTCCTGTGGCAGGTCGTTGCACACGGGGGGGTTGAGTAGCTCGCGCGCGCCTCGTAGAGGTGAATAGTCGAATATTAAAATATGAAGACATCTAGTTGTGCAGGGTTTAGGGCGTACTGCCGATTGGGTATAGTGTTTGTGGGAAGATGTAGTGCACCACGGAATTTGCACCATCCGGATGTGTGC